ATATCAAAATTGTACACTTTAAGTATGTGCAGGTTCTTGTATGCCAATTATGTTAGTGAAAAACCTGTTAAAAACGAAAATGCCTTTTGCTGTCGTAATGGAAGATGTTTGTGGTTGGATGCAAATGGGCACATATTCTTTGCGGCTCCTTCCACGGAGACATGGAGCAGCGATGACCCTCCCCTGCTGAGGCTCCCTGCACCAAGCAGCCCGTCAGGGGCCAGTAAGCGATGCATTCCTAGGCCACCCCAGACGGCCCGGCTGACTCTGAAGGGCGAGTCCAGCAGAAAAACCATTCAGTTCATAGCTAATCACTCACTGCTGTTTCAAGCCCCTAAATTCTGGGGAGATTTGTTACACAGCAAAGGATAATTGACAGTTTGCAATTTCCTTCTTTTTCTTCCATAATCTCTTCCTTTGCTAACTGTATTCTTTCATTTAATCCCAGGTTGGAAAGGTTTTTTTCGGAAAGGGCCATTTTATAAATTTTTGCACTTTGTTGGTATACACTCTATATTATACAACTCTATTGTTGCTGCAGGAAAGCAACTACAGAAAATACATAAACAGGGGCCGGCCCCATGGCTGAGTGGTTAAGTTCATACGCTCGGCTTCGGCAGCCCAGGGTTTTGCCAGTTCGGATCCTGGGCGCAGACATGGCACCGGTCATCAGGCCATGCTGAGGCGGCGTCCCACATGCCACAACTAGAAGGACCCACAACTAAAATATGAAACTATGTACTGGGGGGGATTGAGGGAGAAAAAGCAGGAAAAAAAGAGAAAATACGTAAACAAACAGGCGTAACTTTGTTCCAGAACCACTTGGCCTATTTATAACAGCAAGCAGTGACTGGATGTGGCCCACAGGCTGTGTTTGCTGAACCCTAGTTTAACCTGAAATAGTGTACTTCCATCTTTCAAAATTAATAATTTCTATTCTGGGCTAATTTTGGTTCTGCAGTCTCCACATGATAGTCACCGTGACAATTCTCACATTTATGGCTTCAGACATTGACACTGTGTCCTCACTACAGTCTGTTTTTTATCTAAACTACGCTATTGAAAATGGTACGTTTTAAACTTTTATTATGAAAATTTCAAACATATACAAATGTTTGAGAATAGTAGAATAAATCTGCCTATGTACCTATTCCTCAGCTTTAACAACGGTCAATACCACCAGTCTTGTTTCATCTATTCCCCCACTGACATTTTTCCTGGAATATTTTAAAGCAAATTCCAGATAACATTTTTCATAATAAATTCTTCCATATATTTACGAAATATACAAGGATTTTAAAAAACATAACTCAGAAACCCTTTTACACCTAAAAAATGATTTTTTAAATGTTATGTAATAAAAAGTCAACGTTCAAATTTCCCTGATTGTGATACCGTTTTCTCCCAGAGAGAAATCCCCATCCAAGCAGGGTTTACCTATTGCATTTGGTTCAGATGGTCTTAGGTCTTTTTCGTTTGTTCCGTAACAGTACCTCTCCTTCCATTTTATCCCATGCCACTGATTTATCCGAAGCTTAAATATTTTAAAACAAATTCCAAACATCATCAGATGGCTAAATAATTCAGCGTGTGTCTCTGAAAATTAGGGAGAATTATTTTCCTCCTTGGCCTCTTCCCTGTTACCTAAGAAAACTAACAATAATTCCCAACAAAATCTAATTTTCAGTTTATATTAAATCATCCCTATGTTTCTCAAAATGTCTTTCGCAGCTGATTTGTGCAAACCAGAATCCAGTTAAGACCCACACATGATATTTCAGGTATGAAATTACCTCTTAAAACTTTTTGATTTAGCACAGTTCCCCCTCACTCCATTTTAAAATTTTCTTCTTGAAGTGGACGTGATGCAAACTAGGACAGTTGCTATGTGACTCAATCCTAAATTCCATGTGGGCCCCACATATCTGGCCCCTAAATTGGGGCATACGAAAGAAAAACGTGTGCGCACCTCCCTGATTCAAAGTCCTCTCTCTCCAGAAGCCTCTGGAGCCTCTTTCGCTTCCAGGGCCTACAGCCGGCCAGCCCTGCATCAGTGGGGACAACCAGCCCGAAGCACCGCAGCCCACGGGACCCGCCCACGTGGAGCTAGAGGCTGGGAAGCTTTCCTGCCCGGCCTCGTCTGCCGCAAGGATGCTCAGCCACACTTGTAACTCCTGTGGCCCCAGAGGCTCTTTTCTTCTTACTGGAGTCCAGACGTCAGTGCAGCTGGCCTGTGGCCTGGTTCTCCGTGAGCAGCGGTCCGGACAGTGCCGGCGCCTTCTGCCATCCCCACCTCCATCCTAGGCCTTTCTCCCAGCTCCTCTCATTTCTCTCAAGTTCAGATCTGCATTTTGGAGACTATGCCCATCTCCAGGGAAGGCGCTCAGGAAAACGTGAAGATGGCTGTGGGCCCAGGAGAATCAGAGAAAAGGTGAGTATTGGCTGAAATTTCGTCCTCGCCGTCCGTTGGTCCAGTCCCGTCTCTGCCCTGGAGACTGCCTGTGGTCGGGCTGGTCCTGGCTGCATTGCCCTTGGGGCCGCTCTGGGCAGCACTCTCTGCTCCGTTCATGTGGAATCTCACCAGGTAGTTTCCTTTGAACAGCACAGATGGAACATTTAAAGAAAAATACACGCAGGTCCGTGTTTGTGCCCAGTGATGGTGGATGGAGGAGGAGGGCGGGGATATCCGACATCCCGCGGGCTGGAGAGGTGGGAGGGCCCAGGAGGATTTGTCACGTTGGAGAAGATGTGCCAGTGGGAGGAGGGCAGAAAATACGGCTATTCCCAGAGGCTGCACAGTGCGCTTGCCACAGTGTGGGAGAGTGTCATGGCCAATGGGCTTCATTAATGTTGAATTTTTTTTTTTTTTACACACCGGCAAAGATGCAGTAGCTGGGCGCATGCGGAACAGGGAGCGGCTTGGCTTGATCAGAACAGTTTTTGTCTGAGTTTTCAGCATTAATAATAAGGACTTTTCACCTAGAAATCTGGATAATCTGCTTCTCTGTCAACAAGTCCTTCTCGCTGTGGTTGGTCGGCGTTCTGGGTCGGCAGAGTTTGGTTTAGACCCGGCCTGCGAAGTCCACGTGTCCCACCTCCTGCCCTTCCCTTCCCTCCCCTGGATGCTGAGGCCGAAACGACTGACGGGATGACACCCTGCCTGCCTCACTCCTTCACTTCTCCGCCTGGCTTGGGCAGTTGTTTTTGGATTCACCACCTCTTAGCCCGGGTGGGGACAGGTCAGCCAGAGTCTGAATGCCAGGCTGATGAGTGTGGGACTGGACTTTGGTGCAAGCCGTGTTTTGAAGATGTTTGAGAAAGGGTTTGATGTGCTTCAATGAGTGATTTGGGAGAAGATACTGATCAATTTAATAAAGGGACTAAAGGACAAACTTTCTCACCCTTGGAATTGGTTAGTTTGATGAAATTAATTTACCCAAATGCATTTGACATTTATTGACCAACTGCGTAGATAACACGCTAGGCACTTTTTTTTTTTTTTTTTTGAGGAAGATTAGTCCTGAGCTAACATCTGCTGCCAATCCTCCTCTTTCTGCTGAGGAATACTGGCCCTGAGCTAACATCCGTGCCCATCTTCCTCCACTTTATATGTGGGACACCTGCCACAGCATGGCTTGACACGCGGTGCCATGTCCGCACCCGGGATCCGAACTGGGGAACCCTGGGCCACTGAGGCAGAACGTGCAAACTTAACCACTGGGCCACCGGCCGGCCCCTCACTCTAGGCACTTTTGTGTTGATTATGTCCGGGAAAGGTCATTTTGATGTGGAGGGGTTTACTAATTCAGAGCTCCCTTAATTATACTATATTCAGATGTTTTGAAGAGAAAGAGCGCTTCATCTGATCCTAATCTGCTTGATGTGGTGGAGATTTAGGTGTTTCTGGATAGACTAAAAAGAATCAATTTAGATGTCAGGCCAATACTGATAGCTCAGAGTTCCTCATTTGTAAAACATTTTATTCTTTAAGAGAATGAGTACCCTGATTTCTAGGAATTCCAAATCAGGATATTTGAGTATTTACTTCCTTTACCATTAAGAGATGTCAAACAAACTCCAACACTAATTAAAGACGACAACAGGTTTTAATCAGTAATACACTGTTGCAATAGAGGAAAAAGTACAGGGTGAACTGAGCTCAGCTTCAGTTTGTACAGCCATGACAGGGTGTTTTAAAGGGAGAATGAAGGAATGGGGTGACGGAGGGAGTGGGTAGTGGTGAGTGGGGGCTCAGTAGAGTCAGGGAAGTGGAAATTTTAAAAAGTGGGAAGAGGGTTGATCCATGTAAAACGCATCTGGGTTTGCTAACTGACTCATCAAAGTTAAGCTCTTACTCTCCCAATGACTGGGAGACAGCGACCTTATCATCAAGTGTTGGCTGGAACAAATAGTAAATTCTTTGCCAGAAGCCATGTATTTAAAATGTTCTGGGCATGTTGCCATACATATAAACTGACAATATATAATTATACTTACCCTGGACAGATTTTCTAAGATGTCTACAAGTGCTTAGCTTCTTGTCTGAGCTATAAGTGCCCAATAACTGTCACCAAAAAAGATACTTGATGTTGATTAGAATGAATAATAATTACAGACATTTTGCTAAATTATTTAAAATATGTTAATGTAATTTCTTGAATGTGTACTTATTTTAGGCAGGAAATAGTTTTTTTGAGCCTTGTTTCAAAGTAGACAACAGGCTAATTAAGGTGCTTAATCTATTTTACTTAATATGAAATCATTTCTTCCAAGATATTTGTTAATTTATTTTGCTCTAGAATTTGGGAGCAGCCTCCTTTGTGTGTAGGAATTTTGTCTGGAACAAAAGATCGGTGCATGTAGCTTTCAATAAGAATGATTGCTTTATTCATGTCCTTTTAGTGTCACGGAAATGATCTTTTCCTTTGTTCTTTTTAATTCTAGAAAACATTTTAATAACCAAACAATTCAAATTCTTTAAGAAATTTGAATATGTAAATATTTTTTAAAAAGAAAAGAATCAGCTGTGTACCCAGCTTTCAGATGCCGTTATTAATATTTTCACATATATATTTGTGTTTATGTGTCTTTTCTAACATGGAAAAATCCTGCTCAAACATAGTGTAACACTTTTTTATACTTAAGAATTTGTTAGTATCATCATATTTATTGATTAATCACTTACTGCTTAAACCATGGTTTTATGGCAAACAATGTTTTTAGAGACTGTAGAGACACAGCAGTCAAACGGCTGCTAGAGGTCTCTGCCATCAGGCAGTGTGCACTCTGCTCGCTCACCTCCAAAGGGACAGTACTGTCACACCGCCTGGCCAGTAACTGGTTTCACCTGTCAGCTGTAGTAGACACTGAAATTATTTTCTGTATTTTGTGATTGGAACCATGGTTATGAACATCTTTTTAATGGTATCCAAATTTTCTTCATGATAAATGTTGGTGTCCCCTTCTCATTCTGACCTCCCCCAGCTGTGTGATTAATTCACATTACTAACCTCCCAGTGCTATTTTCTCATCTATAAAATGACTATTACTGTTATCTACTTCTAATATTTTCTTAACTTCTAAATTCTATAAAAGCAAAGACCTTAAAATGGAACCTGGTATATAGTAAGCTCTTAGTTTATTTAAGTATTTGAGTGAGAAATCTTTGTCACCCTTTTATCCATTTATTTTTTTCTACCGACATTACTAGTCATCACTGGGGACAGACACTTGTCTAAGTCTCAGGATGGGTCACAAAAAAAAGCCTGCATTCGTTATAGTCTACATTCTAGTAGAAAATATAGGTAACACAGAGAGAAATAAAATATATGATATGTCATATGTTGATACAATCTATGGAGAAAAATTCAAGCAAGGGAGGGACATAGAATCTGGTAGAGAAATGCAGTTTCAATAGGGGTGTCAGTAAATATGACCTTTGTGAAAGACAGGAAGGAGGAGAGGGAGAAAGAAAGCTTTGTAGAGATGGGGAACTATGCCAGGTAGAGAAGAGAGTGATTTCAGATGCTCCGAAAGGAACTTTTGTCTGACTGTGACAGGACTCCCAAGGAGGGAGGAGGCCTCTGTGGCTTAAGCTGAAGATGCAAAGAAGAGAGTCGGAGCTGAGGTCCTAGAGCTAACATCAGGCCAAGATTGTAGAAACTGGTAGGCAACTCTAATGGCGGGGATTTTTCTTCTCTGAGTGATATGGGAAGCCATGAGCTACCTTGAAACAGAGGAGTGACATGATTGGCTTATATTGAAAAAATATCACTTTGGCTTGTCTGTTAAAATCTGTGGGCAAAGTTGTAAGTATAAAATTAGAAGGTTATTGCAATAATCAAATAAGTGATTAATTATTGTTAGTAAAAGTGGGAGAAGTGTCAGGATTCTGGATATATTTTTAAGGTAGGAGCCAAAGTTTTCCTGAAAAATTAATTGTCGAATGTGAGAAAAGGCAAATCCAGGGTGGATTCCAAAGATTGCAGCCTGAGTAAATGGGAGGTGGAGTTGTCATTTACTTAGAGAAGAAATATTTTGGAGTATACATTTTGGGAGGGATAAGAGCAAGAATTTAGTTTTAGTTAGGTGGAGTTGAAATTTCCTTGGATTAGGATGAAACTGAGCCTGTATCCACAAGGTTGATGTGGGAAACCAAGTAACCAAAGTTTCTGAGCTTGTCTTGCAGAACAACATGAGGACTGCTGATGAAGAAAGTAGCTTGCTGACAGCTCCCCGCCTGCCTAAGCATCGCGCAGGAGCACTGAGCAGCCACAATGACCCATTGTAAGTTGACACATCACAGACCAAAGATCCACCGCATGCAACATATAGGACATGCAACCCTGGATTTGCACCTGTGGCTCATGAAGAAATATGAGGGAGAGTCGCCCCTGCGCAGGGGACTGGCTACATGCTCCCCCTCCCTGTCTTATTCTCACAATGTGCTTTGGAAAAACGCTTAGAACTGCACGTAGGCAAGTTAATCTGTAACCAGTGGAAAGAATAACTTGCTGGCAGAAAATTTATGTCCTCTTCCCAAACTGTTCGTTCTGTCCCAGATAAGGAGGTAACTGAGGTTTTCTTAGATTCCACAGGAATGTTGCATTCAGCAGATCTGCTACGGAGAGGGGCCCAACGTTTTGGGGTCATCCATCACCTGACGTTTCTGAGGCCCTCCCCAACCCCATCTGCCTTATATAAGTCACTTCCAAATCAGTTCCCTTTAAGATGGGTTGTTATTTTTTTCAAAGATTTTATTTTCTGCCAAAGCCCCCCAGTATTTTTAGTGTATTTTTAGTTGTGGGTCCTAGTTGTGGCATGTGGGACACCACCTCAGCATGGCTTGATGAGCGGTGCCATGTCCGTGCCCAGGATTCAAACTGGCGAAACCCTGGGCTGCTGAAGCAGAGCGGGCGATCTTAACCACTCAGACATGGGGCCAGCCCCCTAAAATGTTTTTTTTTTTAGGATGACAGTCCACCATCTTCCAATATGGTAGCTTATCGCTTATTAAAGTTCTTTCTCTACCATTGCCTGCTTGGCCTTTTGTCTTGTGGCGAACAGCTTAAGCCCTTCCTTGCTCGTTGTCTCTTTGAGGAATGCTGGGATTTGCCCCTGGAATTTATGGAAGACTGCATGCAGGTCTGTGCTATAGGCCACCTTCATTTCTTATTTGTAAGGATTTTAAAGTACTCACCGTACTTAACATAGACTTTGGTTTTTAAATCTTTGTTTTGTTTGCTGTTTACTGTTTTTCCTGTGTGTAAAAACTCTTTGTTCTTTAAAATATAGTAAAATCCAAAGTAGTTAAGGGAGAGTTTAAAAAACTAGGATTATTGTAGACGCTCAAAATTACCTTTCTTGGAGCAGTTAAAAACCATAAACACTAATATAGCCAATCCTTAAACTAAGACTTTTTATGAATGCTCTTAATAAAAAGTTTTCCCTGTAATAATAGTGGCATGCACAGTCCTACTCATAAAAGGTTTCTCACTTCAGGGGTTGGTGACTTTCAGGAATGTTTCCATCACCTTCTCTTGGGAGGAGTGGGCGTGTCTGGACCCTGCTCAGAGAGATTGTACAAGAGTGTGAGGGTGGAGAACGGCAACAACCTGGTTTCATGGTGTAAGGACATCATTCTTCCTAAACTCAAGATTTCCATATTCCTTTGGGTGCTACATTATGACTCTGGGGGAAATTATGACTGGCTTGCCAGTATGTCTGTTTCCTATTCTCTGCAGCTTTAGGTGCTTCGTGGAATTAGAAACGGGCAGGTTCACGTGGCCTGTTTCATAATGTCCGGAATGCTGGGACTTTGATCTTACCCATTCTTTGGGTGATCTGCATATCCTTCTGTGGCCGTTGGTTTTAAAACTTCTGTTTATATTAAATCTCCTTAAGAGTGGTAAAAATTCTGACTTTGAACATCTGTCCCATGGTGATTGCCTCTGAGAACCTTGGACCTGTGTCCCTGGAATCTGCATTCTGATCAAGTTGGTTCCAGAGTAGCTATAATTCTCCTCCTCCTGGATTGCCAAAGCATCGCTTCCCAGTTCTGGGAAGTTCACAGCATTGACAAGTTCTTTTTCTTCTCACAAGCAGGAAGCAGAAGGCCTAAGCCATCTATAATCTTCTTACTTGAGAGTGGGAAAGAGCCATGGATGGAAGAGAGAATGGTGACACGAGCCACAAGCTCAGGTAAGCGAAAAGGAGCAAGGCAGGTGAAAACCATCAGGAGTAACACATCGGCTGATCAGAGAGGAGGTTCACCTTTAGTTTGTTTATTAACATCTCAAATGTGATAGACATGAAATGAAACATCAGCTGATGTTATGACCATCTAAAGGAATCTCGCTGTTAACATCTTTGGAGTAATTCTTCTCCTGGGTGGTTCTTATCTCCAAGGGACAGTCTTCATATTCCTTTTCAGGTAACCTCTTTATGTAAGCAATGTCTCTATTTTTGGTGTCTCATAAAGGCATTATTGTCCACTATTCCAGTAGCTAAATTTAAAAAACTAAAGAAACGATGAATGCTCTACAGAAAGATATGTAGTGGAAGAGATGAATTTTTATACTTCAGTGTTATTTATGTTACCTGTTTCACTAATACCTCTCAGTGTCTCAGTTTCAGCAAATGAGAATTCGCTTAAGTAATGCATTCGGTTTTTTGAGTCCTCAGTTTGTCAGGTGACAGAAACTGAATCTCCATCACATCTGGATAAACGTAGGAAATTCAGAGTTTCTTCAGTCAATTCAGGGTGTTCTCACCACTCCCCCACACAGTTAGGGTTTTGAATTTACCTAGATTGAGCTCATAAAATGTAATACCGTGGGGTTGATTTTAGTGGTCTCTTATTTTGATGTAATCCATTCACATTGCCCTCTGATGACTTGTACAGGGTCCATCTGATCCTCAGTCATCAGTCTTCAAAAATCACAGCTGTCTCCCTCATTCGACATGTAGGGCTTCTCTCAGTTCCATTTCCACTGCTCTTCTCAGACGTCATCAAGAGCGTGAGAACAGTTGGCTTCTGGCCTAATGCATCTAAGGTCTCTGCAGACCTATAATGTCAGGCCTTCCCTGTCTAGACATGCCCACAGCCATCTCTTCCCTGATTTGCTCACTTTATGAGTTGGGGAGATTCTAGGAACGCCATTATCCATACCTGGAAAAGAGAACCTCTCCTGTTTAAACCCCGAACACTATGTGAGTGTTTCATTATTGACTGACAGTGCTCACCTTGATGGTTACAGGTGTGTGGGTTTAACCCCCATGCTTTGCTCTCAGATTTTTATTCATTCATCAAGTGTGCAGCTTCATTTAGTCAAGAGTGAGCAGGAAAAACTGGCTGTGCCACATAACCCGTTCTCTCAATGCCTCAGGATGCAGCAGCTGGAAGTTGCATTTGTCAGTCCAAGGTTGAGCTTTTTGAATTTTGTTCCACTGTTTCTTCTGTAAGCATACTCCCTTGAGGTGCTGTGAGACCCGTGCATTTTGCCCAAGAGGCAAAGGCTCATTAAGAGGAAATGGTGAAGATAAGATACTGGTTAATATGTTGTACTATTTACCCTGACACATATAGAGTGATCCGTAGAGTTGATACAGTGCATGTGGTCACAAAAGAAAAATGGTGAAGATGTTATGACTGTCTCAGTTTAGCAGATGGAGCAAGAAAATAGGAGAAAGAGCATGATATGTAGGTTTATGAAATCATTTTCTGCTCTCTGGAATAAAGGAGCGATCAGCAATGTCACAGGTTGCTGACATAGGGAATAGGCTGAAAGCACTTTTATATGACTGTGGTGAAAAACTTGTGGCTGTTGGTAAATTTAAATTTTTCGTTGTTTTGGGGACAATGGGTATATGTGTGACTTTTATACGCATGCACAAAATTAATTTTAGTGGGCATTTCTTTCAGCTGGCAATCTCATTTCTATCAAGTTCTCTTAGGCAAACCATCATCATGCATAAACGTATAACAAGGATAAATGCACAGTGTTTTTGTCCAAAGTACATTTATAAAATCTATAAATTAAGGCAAATTTCTGTGATGCAATGCTGTATCCATTAAATATGATGATACTGATCTACAATCAATTTCCATTGGAATGTGTCCTCAGGTATTGCTGAGTGGAAAACCAGTTATATTATGTCCATTTAAATATATGTCTGCCTATGAATACATACATACCTATATTGCCTAAATTCATTTCACCTTTGGTCAACATCATTTATTGCTTTGTTGAGGTTTTATGTGTTTTTTAAAATTAAAATCACTATATAGATCATATTTAAAAATTTTTAGCAAATCTGTATTTTACCATGTCACCGTATATGTTATAGATATTAGATTAGTATTATGTTTATGTAAATATATAACATTTTGAATAGCCCCTTTACCCAAGGTCTTAAATATACATATGTGTCCATTTATTCAAACTTATTGAAATATTGCCATACACAGAGTCATTTTTTAAAGAAGTGAAGTGAAAATCTAAATTTAATTTTACCTTATATTTAATTTTTCTCATGACATAGCTGATTTCTGTCATGCTTTATATTTATGTTTATGATAAGAAGTCTATATTTCTTGAATATAAATGTAACTGTTTAGATAATGTCCCTATATTTTTTTATGTTTTTATTGTACACTGAAGATGATTTAATTCTTGTTTTTGGTAATATGTTTTAATATATATTTATTATCCTTTCCCTTTTTTGTTTTCTAAATATTTCATACATTTGTTTTTTAATATTTTCTTTGCAAATAACATCAAAACTTCACAAAAATTACCAATAAGAATAGCACAAATAACACCTATATATCCTTTACCCAGATATACTTATTATCAAGATTTTTGCCCTCTTTATTTTATTTTAATTTGCTCTTTTTATGTAAATATATACATACGTTTTCTGAACCAGTTATGAAAAGGTTGCATACATTATGGCCCTTTATCACTAAATAATTTAGTGTGTATTTATAATAAGGATTTTCTCTTATGTACCCACAGTACAGTTATCTATCTTTTTTTTTTTGCTGAGGAAGATTTGCCCCAAGCTAACACCTATGCCAATCTTCCTCTATTTTGTATGTAGGTCACTGCCACAGCATGGCCGCCAACAAGTGGTATAGGTCCGTGCCCAGGAACCAAATCCAGGCTGCTGAAGTGGAGCACAGCGAATTTAACTGCTAGGCCATGTGGCCAGCCCCAAGTTTTCAATTTTAATTAATTTAAATAATAGTGTTTTATCCATTCTATTGTCTGTAACCGAATTTTATCAGTTGATCCAAAATGTTCTTTATGGCTTTTCCCCCTTTAGTACAGTGTCAACTCTAGTGGCAGTTACTGCATTTAATTATGGCACTTTAGTCTCCTTTAATTTGGAACATTTTGTCACTCTTTCCTGGCCTTTTAGGAAATTAACATTTTTGAGGAATTTATTCTCCTTTTGAGTAGAATATTCTTTATTTTGGATTAGTCTGATGTTTCTTCATGATTAGATTCAAGTTCTGCATTCCCCGTTGGAAATGCTCCATGAGTAATACTGGGTATTTTAGGCATCACTTCCAGAGGCACAGGATGTCCATCTGCCCCTTCTTGGTGATATTAATTTTGATCACCCAGAGTATTGTCTGATTTCTCTACAAAATGGTTACTTTTTTTCTCCCTCTTACAATTGACAAGCAATCTGTGGGAAGACACTTTAAGGCCATGCAAATACTCTGGTTCTTGTAAAATTTCCCCCCTAGATTTGGCATCCATTGGTTATTTTGTCCTGACTCAGTCTTTACTCTGATGGTGTCAAAAGGCTGATTTTCCAACTATGTGGACTCTTTCCACATTTGCTATTCAGCTCTAGAGATTCTACTCTAAGCAAGAGGCAAGAGTCCTTTTTTCTCATTCATTCATTTTCAGTATGGACTTATTTGTTCGTTTGTTTTCAATGGGATATATATAACTTCTCTAATTATTTTGATAATCAAATTGTCTCAAATTTTGCCAGTGGGAGTCTTTTCAAGCAGGCTTTGATATTCCTGTGACATGCATATGGATTTTGAATCATAATTAAAGAGCCTTTTGCCACACGCAGGTTATTGAGGAATTCACTCTTATTTAGTACTTGTACAATTTCATTTTTCCTTAAATCTACTTGTATTTTATTTTTATGTATGGTGTAATGAATCTAATTTTATCTTTCTTTTCCAAACAGCCATACATTTCTTCCAACACCATTTCTTTAAAACACTGTCTTTGCCTCACTGATTTAAGATTTCACCTTTATTTACATGTGTTGCGTCTATTTTAGGGGTTTCTTTTCCAATGGTCTGTCTCTTCATGCACCAGTACCACACTGTTTTAATTATAGAGGCTTTGACAGATGTTTTAATGTCTAAGAGGGCTATTTTCTCATCATATCCCTTTTTAGTGTTGTCTTGGCTATTCTTACATGTTTATTTTTCCATATGAATTTTACTGTCAAATTTTCTAGCTTCATAATAAAGTTCAGTACCTTTATTGGGGTTGCATTAAATTTATAAATTTAGGGAGAACTGATATCCTGTGGTGTTGAGATGTCTTAATCAAAAAGAAGGAATATCTTTCCTTTTATTCAATGCTACTTTTATTTTCATTGGGAGTGTGTCATGGTTTTCTACATGTATGTTTGGAACATTTCTTAGGTTTATTCTGAAGCATTTTATCTTTTTATTGTAATAATAAGTGCATATTATTTTTCATTATATCTTCTAAATGGTTATTATTTGTGTATATGAATGCTATTGGTTTTTGCGTATTACTTTTATATCCTGCTACCTTCCTGACTTCTTCTACTGTTTGCATTAGTTTTATCATTGAATCTCTTCAGTGAGAGATTTGTAAAATATGTTACTGTTGTAGGCTAGGGAATGGCCCCTGAAATTATTCACATCCTAATTTCCAGAATCTGTGAATGCTACCTTATGTGGCAAAAGGGACTTTGCAGATTATCCTGGATTATCCAGATGGGTCCTAAATGAAATCACAAGTATATTTATAAGAGGGAAGCAGAGGTGTATTTGACTTCAGAAACAAGAGATGCGATGAATGAAGCGGGAGGTTGGAGTACTGTGCCCAAGGGGTCGTGAACCAAGGAACGTAGGCAGCCTCCAGACGCTAGAAAGGCAATGAAATGCGTTCTCTTCTAGAGTCTCC